CGTGAAAACAGTTTTTATTTTGAATTTTTTAAAAATCTTTTTAACAATTTAGAGAAAATTTTGTACTTTGAAACTTTGAGAAAATGTGTTTGTATGTGAACATACAAATGTATAATTCATCCTTTCACAATGTCGTAAAATCACACATTTCCAAGTGATTACTTTTACATATTGATACATGTTTACATTATATTTATGATCTTTTATCGTCAAATTTGATATTTTTAATGGATCAAAGATAAAAATTCTTCCCAGATTGATACAGAGTTTGAGAAAATTGATGCCAATGGTAAAAAAAAATATCGTTACACAAAAACTGAAAAATACTATAATGTATTTTCTGGACATTTTAAGACATTTTTGTTTCTTATTTTATGCTAAAAAATTAAGAAGATAGTAATGTTAAGGAAAGAAGGGCAAATACAGGTTGTAATTCATTATTTTTGTGATGAAGTGCCTTTTTACATTAAAAGTACAATTTTCTCAAAATGATTGTTTTCGAACTGTGTGTGCCATTTTCTAAGAATCTACTCAATGAATGTACATGCAATTTTACTGCATATAAATGGGATGTAACTATATATACTGGACCTTTTTTTGGAGATTTTCCAAAAATATTTTGCTGAAAAGCAGTTATCGTAAGAAAAAGTAACAATTTTCAAAAATTTCATAGTGATACTTTTACCTTGAATTTTTTTTTGAAAAAAGTAAAGAATATATTTGAAAGATTTAAACCGGAATATTAAAAAAAAGTCTTAATTTTAATATACAGGCAACATTTGAATTTTTTATATTTACCAGTTTCTGAGAAACAGGAACCTAAAAAAGCTCAATTTAACATTGTCGGTATAAGGGGTACCGACTAGTCTTAAGTTTTAATTGCATACAGGAGCTCAGCAGCGTAGTTGGTAAAGTAAATGTTCTGTACGCTGTCGGCCTCGGTTCGAGTCACGTGATCAGTTTTTTTTTAAATTCATTTAATTATTTTTTCAATTAAATAAATTTATTTAAGAAAAGGTTATATAAAATATTTAATGATATTTTAGATAACTATTTTGTATTTTAAAAAGTAAAAGAGCTACTGCAATTATATAAATATTTATATTATATCAATACAATTACTAATAAATATTATTTATTATAAAAATATATCACATAAAATAAATATTAAATGATATTTAAATAAAAATTTGTTACAACTAGTTTTTTAATATTAAATGTAATATATTATAAATAAAATATTATATTAAGTATTATAATAATGCATAAAATATATTATAATAATTATTTATCAAAAATATTTTATAATCAATATAATAAAAATTATTTTTAGACTTTTAGACGTAAAATCTTGAAACTCAGTGAACAGATTACATTCATTGCGTAGAGATCCGCGATAAGATGGGTTTTGTGAAAAACGCTTCCTAAGTGAAGTTGCGGGGCCTTAAGATGCGTTAGAGATAATTATTTCCATTTTAAAACTATTAGACGTACACAGTCTAGAAATTCGATAAGCAGATTCCTTTTATGGTGTAGAGATCCACTACAAAATAGGTTTGGGTAAAATTGACCCCCAAGGGGCACTAATGGGGATTAAGGGGCGTAATAGATAAATATTTAAGTTTTTCAACTATTAGACCCACCTGCTTGAAGGTTAGAAGGTTTGTTCCTTTCATGGAATATAGTTCCTCTATGAAAGAGTTTGTGAAAACCGACCCCAAACGGAGTGGGGTTGCGAGGTGTTAAGAAGAGTTATAGACAAAAGTCCTGTTTTTGAATTTAATCCATTTATTTGAAATTTGTTGAGCACCTGTATTTAGTTGAAAAGGTGTTTCAGGTGTGACCACTTAGAATGGATTATGGAAATCAACTCTAGGGGGAGTTATTGGGGCAATTGAGAGACAAAATTCCCATTTTCGAACTACTAGGACAATAATAATAAAATTTTGTCTGCATGTTTCTGTTGTAGAATTGGAATCCGCTAAGAATGCTCTCAACAGGGTTACGGAGCTGGGCGTATTGATGATAAAAATTCCGCTTTTGCTCTATTATATTTAGACTTGAAATGTAACATGTGTGTTTGTTTTATGGAGTAGAGATCCAATAAAAGCTGCTTTGGCGAAAATCCACTTGATTATTAAGTTAAGTGAGCGCAAAAAATCTTTCTACTTCTATTTTGGATAATAACAGAAATTAGAAATTATAGTTCATGTCCTTTTTATATCAAAAGGTGAGAGTTACAGCTATAAATATATTTTTTTAATACAATCGAATTTTTAATACTGTAACGGTTCTCTTACATCATTACTGGGTAAACCAAAATAATGGATAAGATCTCGTAATTAAAATAGTTGGTAATTTAAAATAGTTTTAATGACATAAAAAAACACAGTTACAATGGACAGACATTTAGACACAATACAGGTTAAGCATTTAGAGGAAATAAGGGAAAATTAAATATAATACACAGTCCAGGATTGGACAGCAAAACGAGTAAAGTTCACTCGTTCAGTTCCCAACTCTCTCTGGCGGTAATACAGAGCTTCGGTCGGTAATGCTTCCGTTATAAGTACCGCCATCTACATTTCGGTCTTCGAATTAAACCGTGTGTTACAATACTAGATATCAATAATTTATATTTGTGTAAACATTATATGTTTATACAACATCGTGAAATACCTAGTGAAGCGGGTGGGTAACGGCTAGTATCTTATATTACATATTATTAATTTAATTATTTTATAATTAGATAAAATATTTAATGTCTTTTTTAAATAAATTTATTCAAATGTAAAAAAAAATTAATGAATTTAAAAAATAAAACAAAAAACCCCGATCGTAAACCACTGATTATAATACATTGTATTATAAATATTAATTATTAATAATTATATTTATATTAATTATTAATTATTAATAATTATATTTATAATAAATATTAATTATTAATAATTATATTTATAATAAATTAATATTAAAATTATTATTTTAATATGAAAATATAAACTTTGATTTTTTTTTACTTTTTAAAAAACAAAAGAATTATCTAAAATATCATTAATATTTAATATATCAACCTTTTTTAAAATAAATTTAATTGTAAGAGTAATTAAACGAATTTAAAAATTAAAACAAAACAAAAAAACAAACACGATCGCTCGACTCGAATCGAGGCCGAGCGCGTAGTAAACAGTTACTTTACCAACTACGCTGCTGGGCACCTGTAAGTAATTAAAACTTAATAGTATAAAAGCTAAGCATGAATTTCAACGGCTATTTTCTCCGGATTGACTGCCCATTCAGCGGAATTACATTGAGGGTTCAACTCCCTAGAGGAGTACTAGTATTGTACAATGTCTTGTCCCTAAATGAATTTCCTTAGTCGTGCCCCTTTTAAGTCAATTCTTATATAGGTCAATAAATTTTTTGAAGTGATAACTTCTATTGGCGCGTTTTGCCAGAGACTTGACTGAACGTCACGCTCGGGAATGTAACAATAATTCTGCTTTTTTAGGCTTCAATCACACATCACACCCTTAAAAAGGAAAGGAGGGACGTTTCCCCTCGACACTTTAAAACGTGTTTTATTTGCACCCCCCCCCCTCAACAATAGGCAGTAAAATTAAAGTTCCTAGCTTCGATCTAATTGGCCCTCCCCCGCGCCAACTTTTTCTACTAAAATAAATGCGGTATTAATTCTAATCCTAGTTAAAGCATGGAAATGAAACGTAATATTTTTAAAAAATAGGCATAGAGAAAGAAAAATTTTACACTAGAGTTTCTCATAAAATGTAGAGAAAGGACACATTTTTATAAAACTAAGTAAATAGTATAATTATCATTAGCAATATATATATGTTGCAGTGATTATAAGAATAAAAATATATATTTTTAAGCGAATTTGAATAACAATGAATAAATTGTTCTATTAATCACATTACTTAAATATACTTTAGTTCTAAAAAGAAAATTAAAAGAATTAAAAATTTAAAATAACAAAATTAAGTATACAAATATTAAAAAAAGTTAAATTAAATAAATTAAATACAAGAAAACAAAATATAATTAAAAAGACTTTCCTTGCAGCAGCACCGGATATATTTGTAGAAAACTGCCATACAATGACAAAAGACCTAGTATAAGCCAGATATTATGTGATATAAATCTTCTGAGATTAAATCCCTTTTTAAAGGTTTTGACCTAGATTCCTCTCTTCCCAATTAACTACTTGTCATACTAACTATATATTTCCTTAAAATTATTTCGTGGATAGAATTGAATATTATTAAATTTCAACCAAAATTCACAAAACCGGATCGGGTCTTCTGAACAAATTGTTATGATTTTAAGTAGAAATTTTAAAGTAGATTTTTAAAAAGACAAATCAAAACCTTTAGTTGTTTTTTTTAAATCAAAATAAAATTTAATTATGTCAAATGATCCAAATGAAACACGCGGATGTACGAAACAACACTTGACGGAGTTTTTATATATATATATTTAAATAAAAATTTTAATTTAAAAGATTTATAACCTATTTCCGCTACCATAAACCTATGTTTATTGCTTAGAAAACAATTAATTCCCAAATATGATTGTATATTTAGCACAAAAATATTACTTTGTGAGTACAGACATGGATAAATAATTTCATAGGACAATACTAATATCCTCTTGTGTTTTATTCACCTAACTAATCCCTGAAATAACATTATAAAATTTGAAGTTATCACTTCTATCGTGTGGCCATAAGCACACTCACTTTTTTATTTTGTTACTTTTTATTAAATAATTACATATAATATAAATATGTATATACATATGATAGAATCATAATATTAAGTGACAAAATAGAAAGCGACTTTCATTGCAATTTTACATTTTCCTTTCTATATATGGTGTCGGATTATTATTTTTGTTTGTTTTTATTAATTCATTAATTAAATTTAATTATTCTAATAAAATAGTATAAAAATAAATAACATTCTCAGAAATTATGCCATCCCAGGTGGGAGTCGAACCCACAACCTTTGGATTATATGTCCAATGCGCTATTTATTGCGTTACAGGAACACAACGAGAGATTTTCCTTTATGTATATGGAATGAGGCTATTATATTAGTTTGCTACTATTTATTCATTTTTTAATTTAATTAATGAATGTTTTGAAAAAATTTGTATTAACATCAAGTGTCGAACACTATAAGTTTTAAAAAAGGTATTTGAGCTTGAATGGATGAATAGAAAGTATTTTATTAACGATATATATATATATATATATATATATATAGGGAGAGGGTGAACTATATAATAGTAGGGATAGTGAAAGAGAACCATTCTAGGAAAGGAAGAGAACTGAATTTTTATTCCCTTTTACAAAATGTTTTTTTTAAATAGTTGCTTATTTATTAATGTGGGGTTTTGATAATAAGAAGAAATTATGAGAAATAATTTGTTTTTGTACACAAAATGTTTGAAAAAAAACATATATATATTTTCTTCTTTTTTTCGTTATCTCTGGAGTCAAAAGTACATATTTTTATTCATATCTACGTCATTTACATCCGCTGTACTGGATTTATTCCCTTTGAATAAAATCCCATTACGTATATCGAAGGGTGAGGTGCACAAATCCCAAATTTGTTCCTGTTTTTTGTGGGAGAAAACAAATAACTCAACTCCTTTGTTGTCTGAACCAATTCAATAGATTTCATTTCCCTAAAGTTTGAATTAGAAAGCGTAAGAGATTGTCATTAGATGCAGAAAGCACCTTTAGAGGAACTTCGATGAATCAATATTTAATTCAGTTTGCTAATAGGCATAATGATGAATAACATGAATGAAGAAAGCCCATTAAGTTTGAATTATGCTCGTCCTATAGATAAGCTTTGTTAGTATATATTTCCATCTCTATATTCATTTTGATAGATATTACGTGATCCAATTTACCATATTGCTGTGGCGTACACCGAAACTGGACACCCATAGCCCTTGATTTTTGTTTCAATTGATTATAATTTTATTTATATAGTATGTAAAATTTAATTACCGTATTTAAGTATTCAAATATAAACCGCACTATTTTTCCAGTCTTAATGCTGCTGAAAATTGGTGCAGATTAGAACTGAAGGTAAAGTGTTTGTTGGATGGTGGAAATTGAATGTCCACTCCTCTCAAATGTCAAAAGGAAAAAGCCACTTGCATCGATGAATTATTCCATTCCGCAGTTTACCTTCAGTATTCAGTCTATCCTAAGCAATGCTGTGTGTGTATGCTTGGTTTTTTTTTCTTTTCTTTTTGTATACGACTTCTGTTAATCACCTAATCTTCAAAGACATCGGTAAGGTTACCAAGACGAGTTCACTATGATGCAAGTATGAAAAGGGAGGCAATTTTGTTGCAGAAAAAAACGGAAGCAAAGTAGTGGTCACTGAAAATGTGACACGGATGAAACAAATATACGTCGATGGCGTATATTTGTTTCCTCCATGATGATACAATTTTTGATGATTACAAAGTGATACAACTTTTTCTAGTAAATGTTCAACAGTCTTTAACAATTATTTTACATTCTTCTATAATACGTTCTTTTTTTTTTAAAAAAAAAAAAATTATGTATAAAAATGCATTGGCTGGCGGAAAAGACAAGATTGTGTGGAAAAATGGTGACGCCTGCACCCACTCCGAAGTCAACTGTGACAATGAGAGAGACGAAACTTTTTCGAAACGTATGATACTGACGATTAGAGTAATGACAGGTTCATGTAACTGTTTGAAAGGTTTTAATACTGTCCAAATAAGTAAATTATTTATATATCTTTTATTATTTGTCATTAAAAAATATATTTTTTTAAATTTCTTAAGTATCGGATATTGATTAAGCTTTCACATATTTTTTTCTTCTTAAAAGGGTATAGTGAATTAGGGAGGTGCGGCTAAGAATCAATGACAACATTTTTTCTCGAAAACATGTTGAGAATTTGAGGTGCAGCTTAGAATCGATGGTGGCTTAGATTGGAGTAATTACAGTAAATGTTAGCTAGAAACAATTAATTTAATTAATTAATCTGAGTTATTTATTCAATAATTGTTTTACTGTGTTTTCGTTCCTGACAATCTACAAAATCAAAGAAATATATTAGGCGGCGTATTGGAGTATGATACGAGAAGGTGGACTTAGGACCCTGAACCCCCTAACGCTTGAAAATTCATGTGTGTGACACTGACATATTCAATGATTTTTTATTAGGAATTATGAAAATTATTTTTAAATTTTGATTACATTATTATTTTGTTGTATTTTTTTTAAAAAAAAGAAAGAGAAGTTGTGTCAATATTTGCTGCGAGCTTTTCTCTCTCATGTCACAACCAAAAAATAGAAATACACTCATGTCCCTAAATTAAGGCTAATGAAGTTCAGTCAAAGAAAGAGACAGAAGCAAAACAAATTTGACTTATTTGTAAAGTCTATTTATTAAACAAAAGGTAAAGAGCAAAAAATATGCTATATGTTTGACATAATTTATAAAAATTGCGATTTTTACTTCCTGGAGCAAATTTCAAAAAAGACCCTATTTACAAAAAACAGTATAACACGATTAGTATGATGGTAAATACGGAGTATGTCTCCCGGATGATGCAATACAGGCCTTACAATGCCTAGGCAAGCTGAGTATGAAATTATCAATCTGATCTTGGGTAATATTACACCACTCATCAGCCCTCCGAAGTTCCGGTAGACAAGTGGGAGGGGGTTGACGGGCTGCAATTCGTCAGCCAAGCATATCCCACACATGATCTATAGGATTCAATTCTGGTGAGTATGCTGGACAATCCATACGGTAATATCCTCCGATTGAAAGCATTCGTCTACAATGTTTGCATGGTGAAGACGGGCGTTTTCATCCATAAACAGAAATTCAGCACCCATGGCGCCCCGAAACAAACGTACATGTTGCTCCAGAATGACATCCCAATAGATGTGGCCTGTAATCGTTACTCTCTGGACATGCACGTCAGTTCTGGAACCAAGAATAATTCCTCCCCAAACGAGCCATCCTGCACCACCGTAACGGTGTCGTTCAATGGTGTTCTCTTGGTGGTAACGGGTACCTGGCGCTCTCCATTTTAAAGTCCGGCGAGAATAAGACTGCAAACTTAACCTGGACTAGTCGGAGAAAACATCACACAAGACCACTGTTGTGGTGTCCACAATGCATGCTCTCTTCTCCAGGTTAATTGCAGGCAACAGTGAGTTGCGGTAAGTGAAACACATCTGACAGGCCTACGAGCATATAGACCAATGAGCCCTAAGCGTCTGTGCACGGTCTGCCCTGAAACTGTCGTACCGGTAGCTGAAGAGAGCTGACGAGACAGGTCTGATGCTGTGCTCCGTCAGTTTTTTGGCAGTAACTGCCAAATACCGGTCCTCATTCGGCGTTGTAACTGTGGAGCGACCTGTACTTTAACATCTACTCACATTACTATCATTTTGGAATCGTTGCCAAAGCTTGGATATGACACTCTGGGCGATACGAAGTTCCTCGGATACTTCCCGCTGGGTACGTCCACATTCCAGTCGTCTGATAATTCTACCAATTAAAAAATCATCCAAATGCTTCCTTTGTTCCCTAACTATGCGGTTATTGCACTGAAAGGCATTTAAAGCGCTTGTGTAAACAATTTTACTACTTTGCCACCATGCCTTATATACTCCTCTCTTATACTCTCGTCATTGTGACGTACTATCCGCGCCATCTGTTGGTCTCCTGTAATTTACATATTCTTCTTCCAGATGTGTGTGATAATTTACAGGTGAAATTTTTATTTTAGAGTTCAATTTCCTTATGATTCTGAATTATCCTTAATTTATGGACATGAGTGTATATAAAAATGTTAATGACAGTCCCGAATATCTATTCGCTTTTTTCCAGGCGTTTAATGCGTGTACAGCACTGCGGTCGATATGTCAGTGGTTCAAATAAACACTCTTACGAAGCTTAACATCTAATATGCCGAATATTTCTTCTAACGAGTTCAAAGTGTGTTTCCTTCAAAATTAATGAAATTTATATGTGATATACAATTAACTGATTACTATGAAATATTGAATTGAATCGTATGTATATACACTGCTGGACACCGTAAATGCAACACCAAAAAGACAAGACATAGCACTACAAAATTTATTTTGTAGATAGCATGTTGATCAAGTATCAAATGATTAAATTTATAGACTTCTTGGAAGTGTGGTTCCTGCCAGAATCAGTAGCCAGAGTAGCCGCCTTTGTTGGAGATCACCACTGCCAAGCGCCTTGGCATTGATTCAAAGAGACTTTGGATGTGTTCTTAGGGTACAGCACACCAAGCAGCTTCTAGACTTTACCAAAGTTGATCTGTTGTGGCAGCTGGGGTGTATAATCTGGGTCAATCGTTGAGCAACCAAGTACCACATGTTTTCTATCGGTGAAGGATCCAGAGAACAAGCCGACCAGAAAAGCAATTCAATCATGTGATTGACGAAGAACCTTTTAACAATGTTGCCACGTGTGGTCACGCATTATCTTGTTGAAATATGGCTTTGACCAAGCCTTGAAGGTAAGGAAGGACAACTGGCTCCAACACTTCGGAGATGTAGTGCAGGCTGTTTAAAGTACCGGCAATGCGTACGAGAGGAAGTCGAGAGTGATATACAATACCACCCCATACCAGAATACCCAGTGCAGGAGCAGTGTGGCGGTGGATAACGCAGCTGTTCAAAATTCTCTCTCCACGGTGTCTCCAGACTCGAATCTGAGCATCGTGGTGTTGCAGACAGATGCATGACTCGTCATTAAACACAACTGCATTCCATTCTGCCACCCAAATCCTTCTTTCATCCCACCATTGGCGGTGGAGACGTCTGTGGTTCTGCGTCAAGGGTAGATCAAGCAATGGACGTCTTGCGGACCAACCACTCTGCTGTAAATTGCGTCAAATGGTACGCGCAGACACTGAATGAATTGTTATAGACTCAATGTGCTGCACTACGGTTCGTGATGTGACTGAGCGATCCGCCACTGCCATGCGCACAA